AGACGGGGTTTCACCATGTTGACCAGGATGGTCTCGATCTCTTGACCTCGTGATCCACCCGCCTCGGCCTCCCAAAGTGCTGGGATTACAGGCTTGAGCCACCGCGCCCGGCCTTCATCAGCATTTTAATCTAATACTTGTAGTTGTGTTAAGAGATACTATCCTTGTTTTATAGGTGAGGAAATATTTAAGGTCAGAGGGTTTAAAAACTTGCTGAAGGTCATATAACTAGTATTTACTTTAAGGTGGATATAACAAGAATCAGGGCCCCGATATTCAAAAGGAAGAAATCCTTACTCAAAACGAGTAGAAACTTCAATGTTTATTTAAGTCCCACTAATTCCTTAACACCTTCAAATACTATTTTCAGTGAATCTGCCCATGTCCCCCACTTTTTTCTAATAGCGCCTTTCTCCATGCTACTATAGCTTTTATGTTTGACACTTAATTCACTCTGTTGAGTGGCTTTGATTTTTTTTTTCTGGAAAAGTTGAGATCCAGGTTGTGTTCATGTTAAAGTCTGACTGACCCACCTTCTCCTTCAAATACCTGACAGGCAATAGCTGCTTAACAATATGGTTGGAATGAATTTGTTATGTTACAAATCATGCTTTTGAGGTAAGATTGTCTGTCTTTGTCAGGAATCCTGCAATATGGCAAACATAAGAGAATATTATGAGAGAGCTTTGAGAGAGTTTGGATCTGCAGATTCTGGTAAGTAAATCTTAATTTATGACCAATTAGTATGGTTAGAACAGTGTTTCTTGGCTGGGCGCAGTGGCTGACGCCTGTAATCCCAGCACTTTGGGAGGCTGAGGTAGGCAGATCACCTGAGGTCAGGAGTTCGAGATCAGACTGGCCAAAATGGTGAAAGCCCATCCCTACTAAAAACAGAAATTAGTTGGGTGTGGTGGTATGTGCCTGTAATCCCAGCTACTTGTGAAGCTGAGGCAGAAGAATTGCTTGAACCTGGGAGGTGGAGGTTGCAGTGAGCTGAGAACTGTGCCATTGCATTCCAGCCTGGGCGGCATCCTAACCCCCTTTTAAAATAAAACTTGTATCCTTCCTCTGCCTCCTCAGTTGCTTTGTGCATAAATACTTGAGCATATAATTTTGTTTATTATTTCAAGATCATAAGCTCAGGGGTCCATGGGCCGTCTGTTAAGAACTCTGGAGTTCTCAGGAATAAGAGACCAGCCTGGGCAACATAGTGAGACCCCCATCTCTACAAACATTAAAAAAAATTAGCCGAGTGTGGTGGTACCTACTTGTGGTCCCAGCTACTCAGGAGGCTGAAGCAGGAGGATTATTTGGCCCCAGGAGATTGAGGCTGCAGTGCATTTAGCCTGGTTGATAGAGCGAGACCCTGTTCCAAACACAAAAACCAAAAACAGCCCCTCTGGATTAGAGAAAGGTTTGCACAGTTTTGTTCTCTTAAAAAAATGTATTTAGGGG